CGCACCGCCTTCAGCTTATACGGCTCCATGCCTCCACGTACTTTTGGTTAGTGATTAGCCTCCTCATTCACATACTACAACCTAATTTAAAACTTGTAAACCTAATCTGAAATTCGTAGAGGCAGTTCTCAAATCCCGATTTTCAGTGCTTGCCTTTTGATTATAACTAAAATTACTAATTCCTAAACTAAATCTTCAATGTTAGATCCCAATTAAACTGATTGTTGAATGTTAGTAGCTCATGCACAACTACATATTACCAATTTTGGAAACCTTACTTTTCAAAGTAATTTCGAATAGGTTTGTTCTAGGATTTAGTTCAAGTAGGTCTGCTCTCCCTTACCATCTACAAAAGTTAAAGCATTCTAGGTGTTTGGGAATTTGCCTCTTTGAGTTTTCTTGCATCTTCTCTCAATCAAAAAGATACAGAGTATTTGTTATTTGAGGATTTCAGGTTATTATTTGTCCCTATTTTAATTCCTACATGGTACATTTTATTAGTTGTATGTTTGGTTGGACTCACATTACTTTTGTTTACGGGAAAAATAAGATGCATGTAAAGCATTGTATCACTCCAGCGTTATTAGATGAGTTCTATGGCACATTCAGTGTATAGATTTAATGATGCATTTCACTATTTATACGTATTTCAGGATGTTCACAAAAAACTATATCGGTGCATTTTGTATGACCAAAGTCCTGCTCCATTTACTGGAAAGTAGTCTCACCCCTTCACGTGTGGCTAATGTCACATCCTTTACACATCGGAGTGGTAATAGTAAACCTAACTCGTCTTTTACGATGTATCAAAACAAAAAGTAAACCTAACTCAATATCTCTTTCGTTTTTTGATTCAGTGTGGTCCATGCAGTTGGACAAAGGAGTTGTTAAGTGTCCATCAAAATCAAAACGGTACCCCTATGCAGAAATCTACAAGTATTCAAAATGTAAGTGTACTATTCTGTTTAAGGCCGTGCATCGTTTGTTGGTCTAGCCAGCTGCTTATATATACACCCAATGGGTGACGGTATGCATTTTGTTGTTTTCATATGAATGCATCATATCGACAAGTTGACCTGATGGAGAAATGTCATAAGCTCTGTGTAGTGTGACTGTGTGAGTGTTTATATGTGTTTACCTTCAATTCTGTAGTTAATATTAACAACAAATAAACAAATACTTCATAACATGGTATGATCTAATTAAAGAGATGGGTGCCCTTTTACTTGTATTTTTTTGTGCATGTATAGTTCAGTGGCATCGTCAGGCCTAGCATGACCCACTCTTAGTTGTGCTCCAGTGCATATAACTTGGTTAATGTGTTTAAAGTTTGTTTACTTTTATTTGTTTGATTTGAGATTTAAGGAAGAGTTTTCAAGTTTCAGAATAAAATGATGTTAAGAGTGACCATTTGGTTCGTTTTGTTGATTGCAGCCCCCGGAACAAGAACTTTGTAAACCAGCACGTCAACACTTACAAACCTCATTTCTCTATCTTCTGGTGCAAGTGAAGAGGAGTGAGTTGAAATAGGTTAGAGTTGTTGGTTGGGCCTCTTGTATTTTTGTTAATTTTTACTCGTGTTACATTCATGTTTCCTTCTTCACTTCTGTGTACTTTCCCCAGTATGTGTTAATTATATTTTTGTTCGCTTGGCTTTGTGGTGCCCACGCTATTTAAGTAACTTTCAATAATAAGGAGGTATGTAATTTAATTAATTTTTTAATTAATACATTTAGGAATCCTGAACTTCTGAAGAGAATTGGGGAATTGAAGCTGTCTCCCTTAGGGATTCCCAATGTGTTTGCTCCTTGCATTGCGATAAGTTCAATAAAGAAATCATTCAACTTTACAATTTACCTTACTACTATACTAAGAAAATATGTACTTGATTTGTTACTCAAAAACTTGATGTGGTAATAAATTTGAAGGAGTTAGTACTTTCTTTTAAATCTGTAGCTGGTAAGTTGCTTTACTAACAACAATTATATAGCTCTCTACACATGCATAGTTTAATATCATTAACTTTGGTGATATATTTTGTGTTTAGATTTGTTGTTATTATTACGTAATTAATACAGAGTATTATTTTGTTTCAGGAGAAATGCTCAAAATCAGAACTAATCAGAGGCCATATGCAGCAAATTGCCTTTTGGAAGAATATTAAATAGATGATAAACACTCTTAGATTCCATACAGAGAAGTAAAAGCATATGATAGTTTGCTTTTGCAAGAATATGTAATAGCTAGGTGATAAATAAATACTCTTTTTTGTAAGTGCATTTGTATGAAAATTTATATTTTCTGATTCTTGATATGTAGGTTGGTATTTGAGTGAAAAACAACAATTAAGATATATTCTAAATTTATTTTAATTTTTTTAGCAGTTTTAGCGTCGACATGTCGATGCTAAATGTTACTTTTATTTTTAGCCCCGGAGACCTTTTTGTGTTGACAAAGTGGACGCAAAAGGTAAATCAAAAAAATCTTTTGCGTCGCGGCATTAGCGTCGACATGTTGACGCTAAAGAAGTATCTGCGTCGACTTTCGACTTTTTGTGTCGACTTTTTGTCGACGCAAAAAACGTTTTTTCTTGTAGTGACCTTGCATTCTAGAGCTTGGCTCTATTACATCATCATGCAATCCTAGAGCTCGGCTCTATCTCAAAACCATACAAATCATAGAACACAAGTCTACTATCTCTCCACGCATTCCTAGAGCTCGGCTCTATTACATCACCATGCATCAATGCCCACTTCCTAAGTAAAACCTATGCCTAAAATTGACATATCAATAAACTAGTTTGGGTCATCCTTAAGAACCGCCCATAACTTGATCTTAGCTTTATACTAAATCAATTTAGACACTTGAAATATATTCAAGTGCATCACATACAAATCCAAACCTTAGCATCAATTTTATTAACATTTACAAACAATCATTAACAAGTATCTCAATACTCTTAAGATTATTCTTATCAAACCAAATATTTCTATTTATGAGTCTCAACATATTTGGAGATATGTGGCAGCAACCTAAGTATCCAAATTCAATATATAAATACTAATTTATACACACACACACACACACACACAATTCACACATGAGTAAAAATGCCTATTTAACATATAGTCCATTAATAGCTCATTTAACTCCATATTATCAATATGGCTTCAAATCATTATCAAGTTCATTCCTTATCAAATATATCCATATTTTATCAATATTTAAGCATCATAATTCATGAAATCATAATTTAGACTTTTAGGTAATCTCATGCTTAACCATACACACGGCTATGAATCCTGCGGACAATTATCCTTTTTCTTGCTCTATTTGATTTTGTGTAGCTCCCTTCTTCTCTAAACTTTTGGGAGTTCGAATGGGGTTGTAGAAATGCTCTAAGGCCTCTCAATAAGGTTGGCAAGTTATGTGGTGTGGAATGGATGGACATGAGGCTTGGTCAGCAATACATCTCAATCAAACACGGAGTAGTCTTGTTTTGTCACAAAGGTCAAGTGCAGTCCCCTTCTTTTCATTTGTCCGCCCCATCCCTTCTCATCTAACATATTTTCTTTGTTACGCAGGTACTCAAGTCATGTGGGATGGTCCACAAGTGATCCCAATTAATTTGGGATCAAAATATCTACCCATACTTCCAAAAATGGAAGAATAAGTTTTATTGTTTTATCTTTTTTGTCATGTGATGTCTTTTTGTATTCATTCTAATTTATTTAGACCAAGTCAATTTTCTACATCATATTATTGATCTCTAATATGTGTAGGATGGTCTCAGTAATTCATATGATGTACAATTATAGGGGAAAGCTCTACTCCCATTATTTAGCTTAATAATGTTAAAGATGAGACCGTAGGAGTTTGTTTTCGTCTCTAGGGGTTCCCTCACCCGTTTATTTGTATTTATCAATTATTATAGTCCTCCTAATATTTATTTGGAGTCTATAATAGGTGTGGGATACCCTCAAGTAGTTCTAACATATCTCTTTCCATCAAACCTGCTATTTTTAGCAGGTTGGGTCCAAAGAAACACTTGGGCTGTCCGATCTTCCTTATTTTGTCTAGAAGGGTTATGAATCTCTCTTCACATAATGTTGGGCTCTTATACATATCTAATAAGATAGCCCAATTAAGTATTTGGAAGCCCATCATTATAATACGGGTCCAAACGATAGTACGATTTATCATACATTATGTAAAGCATTAATCATTTCACAATAGGGAAATCAATACATCAACTTTGAATTTTAAAGAATATGAAGAACATTTGGGTGCGGTGTCACATGATAGGCATACAAAAGTCATATGCAGTTCAAAAAAGCCATGCATTTGTTACATTGAAGTATTGATGACAATCATAACAAACTTTTAACCTAAATGGAATGGGAAAATTGCCGCCTCCGGTGAGGGGGTCAAACCAGTCGCAAATATCATCGTCGCCGGTCTCTATGTCAGTTTTCGTCGTTGTCGTCATTGTAATATCAAAAGAAGGCTGAGAGCGTCATTCTATGAAAGTGTTAGTACCAGTGGCACGCATTCTTGCTGAGTCGCCCGAGGAGGATTGTGGAGGCACTACGTAACTTCTTCTTGTTCATGAATAAGGGTGCATGAATAATAACGGGTATTGTAGTTCTGGGTCACCAACCTTTTTAGAACAAATATCTAAATTGTAAGGGATATAATAGATATTCTATTTCTACTTAATTAATCAGTAATTAATTAATCTTGAATACGAGTTGTGAATAGCAATTGTGTGGCTGCATTGAGTTCAATGTAAGGTTCTTTTGTTTACATTGAACTCAATCCAAACCTTACTCATTAGTTTAGTCTTGGGTCGATGTAATCGAGTCCTACCCGTTGACGATCCTTAGTTGGAATCCGTTGGGATTGGCCCAGCTCAACTGATCCAATACTCATTAATCTGAGGTGTTATATTTGGTTCACAGTAGAAACTACGGTCTTAGCAGGCCCAAGCCGTTGGATCCGAATAATCAGGATTCCACCTATTCTTCCTGGAATTCGTCCAGAACCGTCATATAAACCAATCTTCATTTCCCGCGCTATCATTTCGGTTCCCCCCGTTTCTCCTGCTGTTAAAAGAGTCAAGAACGCTTTCCTTTTTCATCGGCTCCCAGCAAAGCGCCCCACAACCCAGATCGAGGAGCTAGCACTATCTTCAACCGAGAGAAAAGGAAACAAAAGCACAAATAGGGTGGGGAATATATCGAAATTGAGAAAACCCTAGCTCGTTAAAGGTATCTTTCTTGCTTGTTCCTGCCTACTTCATTTCTTTCGCACTATCTACTATTTTGCAGCTATTTAAAAATGTCGTTAAGTGCGAATGACACATTTAAAGTTATGAAAAATGATTGTTTCAACGTAGGTTACGTAGCACATACGCTAGTTACCTTCTTCGCTTCTTAAAGTAGTTTTAGTTATGCGTATGCTTGATCTATTCTATCATTAACTTGTTTCATGTTAGCTTATTATGCCTTCTTGATGATCGTGCATTGCTAGGTTTCATAGTTTTCTTGGATTTTGCTGTGACGATTTAATGTTCAATGCACAAAGTTTTAGGTCCCATCTGTTTAATATTGTGACGATTTCAAGAATCCAATGCACAAAGCTTTAGGTCGTATTTGTGCTTAGCGGTAACCAGTAGATTTCTTTTCCTCACTTTGGCGGGGGTTGAGGGAGCCAGTTTTGACCCCGAAATTAAATGAACCTAAATCGAGTTAACTGGCATGACTTTCAGCTCTGTTCCACCAGTTCAGGGCCCTCTTCCCGTTGTGCTTCTGATTTTGTTCAGTTCTGGACCTAAAAAGTTGAGCTTTTAAAAGAAAAGTAGTGATTAGGACTGAAACGGAGCCATTCCATCACTTTGTAGACTAACAAGAACCGGATCATCTCTACACAAGTTCCACACCTGAATCCAAGTTCAGTTTTTGGTGAAAAAAAGTGGGATGTCTTGTTCAATTTCTGGTCTTGAACCAGGACAATGTCCTATGCTACACTAAGCATAAAAATTGTCATCTACTACCTTAAAATGTAAAGAAAATACGTAAAATACTTTTTAGCATATAACTAAAGCACTGGCGCTTTTTTTTGGTACCATCAAATGTTTTATTTGATCATTAACACCTAATCAAGAAAAAAACTGTTTTTAATTGGTCCGTTGAATTATCCAGCATCTAAATGGATGTAGGAGGAAGGAAAATTGAAATGCACAAAGTAAAATAACTATAAATTGATAAATATATCAAGTTATGGTCCTGTTCTTGTGTGACTTTCCATTGGGCTGGCCTATACCATCATTATCATGCATGGACACATAAATATTTAAAATGATCCTTATAGACATCAACTTATTTTTCCTGTTGTGATGTCAATTTCAAGCATGTGGTGTTCAGTTTAAAGACATTTGTTGAACATTTATTTTATCCTTGACAGAGTGAATATGGTTTTTGTTAGAATGTCAGAGGATATAAATATACATGACTCTGACTTTGGAATTCAGTATGGCATCTACATGAATTCTACACAGACTGCTATAGAGCAAAGTGTAATGGAAGAAAATAAATCTGAAACACTTGAATTAGTTCATTGCAGAGAAGTCACTTTCAATTGCTGTGATGAATTTGATTGTCAAAAAACAGAATCCAAGCTGTTGGGGCAGAGCATGGTAGAAGAATTTGGATTAGAAGGTGAAGTATCTCCTGGCTATATGTCTGTAGATTCCAATCAAGACCAGAAGAGACCAGATGTCCACGATTGCAAAGAAAATGCTAAAATGGAGGTCATGGAATTTCCTTCTGTCAATGAAGTTACTGGTTCCGCAGTGAAATCTTCAGCAGAGCCTCTTAAAGAGATTCAAGATTGGAGTCAAAATCCCCAAATTCAGGACCATGTGGGGACTAGTCATACAATTGAGGCTTCTACTGGAGATATCCTCAAAGATCCCAACATTGATCAAAATAATCTTCCATTAAAACATTGTGGGATGAGTTCCAACCATACTATAACATTGCCATCTGAAAACAAGGACACCATTCCTCAAGTTGACAATTCAGTAGACCCACCAAGTGACATGCTTGACAATCATGATTTAAAACAGTTAAAAGAAACTCATCTAGAAGAAAATCCTAGCCAACCTTTGGAGCAGATGACTGAAGATAATAAGAAAGTAGTTGGAACACCTGGGGACACATCTGAAAATGCTTTTCAAGAATTTAGAGAAATGCATACAAATTCAAATGAAAATCCTAGCCCGTTAGGATGTCTTGATAAAAGTCATACCGGGCAATCAAGGAAGAGGAAGTCTGCTTTGAGATCACCGATACGCAGCACTCGAGTACTGCGCTCGAGAACACAGGAGCCTAAATCTGTAGAGACAATTAATGCTTCAGCAGTTGATACTTCTAACAAAGAAAAGAAAACAAAAAAGGGGAAACGGAAACAGAGAAAAGAGATTGCTGCGAATGAATTCACAGGGATCAGAGCTCATCTAAAATATATACTGGGGCGAATAAAATATGAACAAAGTTTAATTGATGCTTACTCTGGTGAAGGCTGGAAAGGTCAAAGGTTTGTATTCTCTCAGTCATTCTATTGGCAAGGCCAATAATAATTGTTTATGGATGATCACACCACTCCCTCCCCCACCCCCTTTCACCAGTCCCAACACCATAAAGATTCACACAGTCAGCCAAACAGGTTCAAGGTGGTTTCAATTTTTTAATTCATTTTATAAAACCAACCATTTCAGTCTCCTCTTTCTTTTTCAGCATGGAGAAATTAAAGCCCGAGAAGGAGCTTCAACGCGCAAAATCTGGGATTTTTCATTACAAACTGAAAATAAGAGACTTGTTTTCACGCATTGATGCATCACTTTCTCAGGGGAAGTTCCCTGAATCTTTGTTCGACTCTGAGGGGCAGATTGACAGTGAAGATGTAGGTGACAGCATTTTTTTTATTCACATTATTATGTGGCTTATATTCAGTTTCATTGCTTACATTGTAAATACAACGTGTTCAGATAATAAATAATGATCCCTTCATATTGCAGATATTCTGTGCGAAGTGTAGTTCTATTGATTTGACAGCTGACAATGATATTATCCTCTGTGATGGTGCTTGTGAGCGTGGATTTCACCAGATGTGTTTAGATCCACCTTTGCTGAAAGAAGACAGTAAAATCAAAAGCTCTTAAGAGGGGTTTTTTCCTTATTATTTTCTAGTACTTATAACTATAAGAAACTAAATGCATTTATTATTCCAATTTCCCATGTGACCACAGTTCCACCAGATGATGAGGGTTGGCTATGTCCTGGATGTGACTGCAAAGTTGATTGTGTTGACTTGCTTAATGATCTGCTGGGAACTGATCTTTCTATAACTGACAGTTGGGAGGTACACCGTTTTTTTGTTTTTGCTGGAATTGGATATCCCTGTTTTTTTCCTTTGAATAATATACGATCAACCACTTATGGGCTATGCAGAAGGTCTTTCTGGAGGAAGCTACTGCGGCTGCATCTGGAAAACAGTTAGATGAAATCTATGGATTACCCTCAGATGATTCTGAGGATGATGACTATCACCCTGATAATCCGGAAGTAGATGAGAATGTTTCACAAGATCATAAATCAAAATCTGATGACGAAAGTGATTCGTCTGACACATCGTTTGAACTGGAAACCCCTAATGATGAACTGCTACTGGGGCTTCCTTCTGAAGATTCAGAAGATGATGATTATGAACCTGATGCTCCTGAAGGCAACAGTGAACAGGTCATGCATGATTGTTCAAGTTCTGATTTTACCTCTGACTCTGAGGATTTTGGTGTAGCATTAGAAAACAACACATCATCTAGCCAAGAAGACCAAAGCAAAAGAAATAAATTAGGTGGAGGTACTCGATCTTTGAAGTGTGAAGTGGATTTCCTTTTGCAATCCGATGATGCCCTTGCATCTGGGAAAAGGCATGTGGAGAGGCTAGATTACAAAAAGTTGCATGATGTGAGTTTCCTCATTATAGTGATTGCATATTTTGCCTCTAAGGTTTTGATTTTATGATTAACCTCATAAGTCATCATACAAATTCCCATTGTCTCGAAAAAGGACAATGGTTATAAACAGTTTTTCCAACAAAAAGTTCAGACATATCAATTGAAAACAACTTTTTATCTAATTTGCCAAAAAGGGTCTAACAAATTAGTGAATTGCATAGGAAAAATTTAGTTAAACCAGCAAATAAATTTAATGGAGTAAAAAAATAAGTCCGTTCTTGATTCATGACAATTCTACTAAACCGAAGTTAAAAATTTGTAGTCAATTTTGCCTCCTTTTTGTGGGTCAAATTTATACATCATTTTGCAATATCAATTCTTCATCTTAATCCTGAACCTTTTAGATTATATTTGACATCTTAATCTTTTGGTATTTGTAGGAAGCATATGGAATGTCCTCTTCTGACTCAAGCGATGAAGATTATCAAGATAGCCCAGCTTTGAAATGCAGAAAGCAAAGAACTGACAAAGCTACTCTGAAGGAATCTGATCAAACTTCAGTAGATGCTGCAGTCAAAAATGCTAATAGATCATCTAGCATGAAACTCAAGGATGAAAGTTTGGTGGCATCTGAATGTGGATCAAGTAGTAAAAAAAACACTAATCAAAGATATGGAGAAGCCGTAATTAAGGTAATATTAATTTGTTAGTGATTTCAGCTTTAAAAATTGCATGTCACTTTTATACTGCAATGTTTTGCATAATATCATTTGCCTCTCACTGTATCTAAACTTTATGCAAAAAGAGGTCTACCCCTTCAAAAAATGAGTCCTTAAGAGCATTGTGGCCTCAACTTTCTTAAAGGATCTTTCTTCAATAGCTTTTGCTTATTTCTTCAGTTTGGCATATGTACCTAAAATTCTGTATGTTTCAGAGACTCTCTGAATCCTTCGAGGAAAATCACTATCCAACACGAGAAGAAAAGGAAAGCTTAGCTAGAGAATCAAGACTGACGTACCAGCAGGTCTGTGTATTTTACCCCTAGCATTCGTAATAATTAGAAGTTGTGGCCGAAATAGCCAAACCGGCTAGTAAATTTACTGACTTATTAAATCCATTTACCAACTTAAATGTGGAATAAACAAAATCAAATAAAATTACTCTGTACCTGCATAATTAAAAGTGCAGTGTTCAGCCTAAGGTATACTCTGCACTACCTTTTTTCACCATCAGTTATAACCTCGAAATGTATCATACCAAATGATCATATATACCAACAGGTAGATAAATGGTTTGTCAATGCACGCTGGTTCTATCGCAATCCTAAATCACACACAAAAAAGGCCACACCTGCTGCTGAGGATCGCCTTGATATAGGTGCCGAAGAATTGCAGGAGACTGACGGTGAGAAGCATATTACCAACCCAGAGTCCAAACCTAAATCTGATACTGCTGATCACCAGGCATCTGATCAAAGTTCAAGTATTCAAAAACCAATGAAGAATAAAACCCAAGTTGATATGAAGAAAAACTCCCAGCCAGGACGAAGAAGCAACCGATTAAAATCTTAACAGAAACTTGTGGTGCGTTATCCCCTTTTGACAAGCAACTTATACCCTCCGTTGTGAACCCCATAATGTAGTTTAGACTTTAGAAACAGGCTACTGATTCTGGATGGTACTACCTCCAGTCCTAATAAAGGGAAATAGCATAATCAAAAGTCATTTTCATAGTATAATTCCAAATTAAATTTGTTTTCCCACTACTTTCCTTATTAAATGATGTTTTGATGAAGAGGTTTATGTAGACAACATAGAAGTGTTGACTTAGGGCATATTAAGAAAGCTAAGATTATCTTAATCATTTCATTGGTTTGTGTGAATGTTAAAATTGTTTCTTCCATATACGACTGGGTGTTGGTTGCTGCGGTGTTATTGACCTGATGCATCCCTTCACTCTTATGATTAGCATCTTCAACATTTATTTGAATCATTTTCACTTGAACTCGAGTATTTAATTGATAGTAAACATTATTCAGATCTTGTTTGTCTGAAACTTTACACGTGGCTTGTATGGCTATGGTATACTCGAATATTAGTCAAGAGAGTCACAGGAATAGTGGTCCATTAATGCTTGACAATACGGAGTATGATTTTAATTTTTTAGGATGATGCTTTTATATAATAGGGTGTTTTGGGAACTCTAGATAAGGGGAGTTGTTAAAATTTTGGAATTACATACTCCAATCAAATGTGTTTGGGAAGTTTTTATTATGGTGAGAACTCCGGTACCCATTTAAAAAATGGGTTATCGTACCTATCATTCACTGGATTGTTTTAAATAGGTATATCATTTTTAATTTAGACTTAAATAATTCAACTACAACGTTTTTATTGGTCCATGTGGACAAAAGTATGGTACCTTATGACTTATGGTACTACCTATGGAGTACCTATAAAAACACTAGGCAATAAGACACCTGACTCCTTTAAAATATGAAAAATTATATATCTATACAAAATTAGTGTACAAATTGTATATGACTCCCTAGTTGCTAGTGTATACAGTAGCTCAATTTTAAAAAAATCAATAATAGTTTATCATGTACTCCCTCCGTCCCTAAAAGGATTGCCAAGTTTGATTAGAATAATAAAGTAAAAACTGTGTGTTAGAGATTTGTGAAGAGGAGAGAAATAACAAAAGACACAAATTGATTGATTAAAAGGGAAAGTGTCAAAGTTTTTGGGACAATAAAAAAAGGAAAGTTGGTAAAATTATAAGGGACCGAGGGAGTACATTGTACAGAGATTATGTACAATTTCTCTACAAATTTTGTATACAACTAAGCTGTATATATGTCACCATAGTTCTTTTTACCGACTTGTCAAATGCAATTTGTTTTTCCTTTTACCAATTTGCATGATAATTCAGACTCACATATTATGAGCTATGGTGGGCTGAAATTCGCATAATAATTCGGGTTCACATATTATAAGCGATGGTGGGCTGAAAGCCTAGTTATTTTGATTTTTTTGTAAACTTTTTCATTCTTTATAGGGAAATTTGCAATATTCATCCCGTAATTTTCGACCGTTATCATTATTAGTCCCGTAACTTTAGTCACTTACAAATTCGGTCCTTTAACTAATTAATATTTGCGATTTAAGGACTTTTCCCCTGAAAAATACACTTTCCGGCAATAGCATACCGGAAAAGATGTCGCTGGCGTTAGACATTTCCGTCGGAAAGTGTACTTTCCGGTGGGGAAGTCCTTAAATTACAAAGATTTATTAGTTACAGGACCAAATTTGCAAGTGCTTAAAGTTATAAGACCAAAAACGATAACAACTCATAGTTACAGGACTAAAATTGCAAATCTCTGTTCTTTATATTTAATTCACTCCCTAATATTATATTCAAGCCTAGTATAATAATTCGTCTAGGACATCTCATATTCATAGATATGCCTATGATGGAGTATATGGGTCCAGGCCCCAGGACCCACATACTTAGAAGAACAGAAGGCACAGCCGTCACCTAGTAGCCCCCCCGTTGGCCAGAGGACCTCCATCGGCCAGGAAGACATCAACCCGGAATATGGTCCAGAAGCTAGGAGAACCGGGTGCCCCCCGTCAGCCATGCCTCCGTCGATCGCGCCCTCGTCGGCCACAGAGAACTCACAGAACAGGATTTCATACTTAGTCATCTCTACATATCTTGTATTCGGCCCAGTAGCGGTCCAGTTGTAGATGGGCTTCCCAAGCCCTAGTCTTGGGAGCCCACCCCACATTTTCCCTATAAATACTCCCTCTGGGAGTAGTTGTAGGGTTGACAAAATCATTAATTGAAACATTTATTGCACTTCTCTCTAAACAATTACTCTATCATTTGGTGCTTTCATTGAGAGGTACAACAATCAAGTTAGCCTCCTTCGTCGCTACCAAGCACAGCTAACTGATCATGGGAAGAATTAAGTCAAACCGCAACCTCCTCGGCAAGGCCGTCCCTGAGACCCAGGAGAACCGAGAGCACGGGGAGGACGCTACGGCCGACAAGGCCATCAGCGAGAATGTTTTCCAGGAGGCCATCGACCTCACGAATGACCTCCGTCACCAGCTAAACAGTGGCGCCCCTGACGCCTGCCTCACCCTGGACAAGAAGCACCAGGATAAGGGCGACAATGCCTCAGGGCAACTGGCTTCCCCGACCGTTGACCCTCAGCTCCAGGCCGCGCTATCGGCCATCATCGCCAGCTTGGCCCAGAACCCCACCGTCCTCAGCGCGCTCATGACAAGGACGGGGGAGAACACAATGCCGCCTCCTCAACCCCAGCCGTTGGCCATCAAGCAAGGCAACGACGAAGGGGTGGTGCCCCAGGACACAGCATCGTCCCACTCCCACCCTGCTTCCCCGCTTCGAGCTGGACTGACCCCAGCGCGTGGAAAAGCCTCAACCTTCAATAGGCTAGATGACACGTACCGTCGACCAGCTTCGGAGAGGATGGCGGGGCGGATTGGTCGGCGTGAGCCTCGCTCACCCAGGGAAAGCTTGGGGTCGGTATCCCGGACAACGGATCGGCCTCGCCTGGACAAAGGCAAGGGAAAACTGCACGAGGGTGACGCCCTCCACCAGATCAACACGGCTCATACAGTCCGCTTGCAGACCCAGGGCACCACTATGGCCGCCAAGGACCCCAGGGACGACGTGATCGCCCAACTCGAGCGTAGGCTCGCTCAGATGGAGGCCAAACAGCTGGCCGCCACCCCTGCGGGCAACTCATCGAGAGATCCCGACTTCAACGCCCTTCTAAAAAAGGTTAGCGTCCTTGAGAGGGAGTTGGCCAAAGGACGAGGAGACCCCATCATCCAAGTCAGGACGAGGACTCCCTTCACTGCCAGGGTACTCTCGGCCCCTATCCCCGAGAAGTACCGGGGAAACGCCATCAAGCCCTATGACGGCCGCTCCGACCCTCAAGAGCACTTCAGCCGCTATCAGAACAACATGCTGATGGTGAACGCGTCGGATGAATACCTCTACCGTTGGTTCCTCTCCACTCTGGAGGGACCGACGTACGAGTGGTTCAACGCGCTCCCCGAGGGAAGCATCGACTCATGGCAGGATCTTGCTCAACGCTTCCTCACTCACTTTGCCGGGAGGAAGCGCGCGAAGAAATATTTCACCCATCTTCTCTCCGTCAAACAACAACATGACGAATCACTTCGGTCGTTTAGCGCACCCTCTTGGTCTTGTTTCAGGGCGTCCTCTGCAGCACCCCATATGCGAGGAGTCTCATCACTGACCCTCCAAGGTCCTACATGAAGGCGCTTCAGCGAGGAAACTTGTACGCTAACGCCGACGAGCTCCATAGCCACAAGAAGGACGGAGGTCACCCCTCCAGGAAGACAAATCCCACACCTACCCCTGACGCACCCTCTGCCGGTCAGGGTAGACAGAACCGCCACGGGTCTGGCGGACAGAACAAAAAGGATCGCCCGTGGCGGCCAAGGATGGAAAGGCCGAGGACCCCTCTCACACACTCGATAAGCACCATCCTCGATTACGCCGAGGAACATGATCTTATTGAACGGGATCCTTGGCCAGCGAAGGAAATCTATGCCGTTCACCAGGGCGGCACCTACTGCCGTTTCCACCGAAACACCTCCCACAACATCGATGACTACGTCACACTGAAGAAAGCCATCAAACGCCTGATTCGGCAGGGGGAACTCTCCCAATTTGTTAAAAGTGGCCCGCGCAAAAATACGTGGGTAAACACCGGCAAACCTGGAGGGGGGGGGGGAACCCTCTACGAAGAAACGGGAGATCGGTAGGCTCAGTGATGACGATGAAGACTTTGAGGAGCCTCCGCCGAAGAAGAACCACATCCACCTTCAGCCGAAGAAGCAGCGGACGGAGGCGATCACCTTCGCTGACAAGGATCTGCCTCGGGCACCGAATCACACAGGGACGCCTTCGTCATCCGATGTGAGATAAGCAATTCTATCATTCACCTCACTTACATCGATACAGGGAGCTCCATCAATGTTATGTACCTCGACACCTTCAAACAGCTGAAGTTGGACAGGGCACTGCTTAAGCCGATCCGGAGGCCGCTGTCCGGATTCACCGGGGACTCTATCGACGACGAGGGCACGATAGTCCTTCCCATGGAGGTCGGAGACGGATCCCATCGCACCAATATAGACACGGAGTTCATGGTGGTCAACCTTCAATGCGCCCACAACTTGATCTAGGGGCGGCCAGCATTGGAGGACTTGGAGGCCATCATCTCCACGAAGCATCTATGTTTGAAGTTCCCTACCAGTGGCGGGATCGGGTACGCTAGGGGAAACCAGAAGATAGCCAGGGCATGCTACCTGAAATTGACAAAGCCAGCTACAGATGCTGGGAAGAGGGTAGACACAATCACTGCCACTGTTGCCAAGGATGAAGAGAGGCCACATGCTGAGCCAGCCGAAGAGGTCGAGGAGGTCCCCTTAGATGCCTCCCGGCCGGAGCGAGTCCTGAAAATTGCGAAGCAACTCCCACAGGAACAACGCGATAACATCCTCCTGATCCTGCAGTCGTACGCGATTATCTTTGCTTGGGGGCCAGACGACATGCCAGGCATCAGCCGGAAGGTGATCACTCACCGGTTGTCACTCGATCCGGCTTCCACGCCACTCAAGCAGAAGCGGTGTTATCTTTCGGCCGACAGGCGAGACTTCGTCAAGAGGGAGGTCACCATGCTTCTCTCCATCAGTCACATCAAGGAAGTGAAGTACCCGACGTGGCTAGCCAACGTCGTCCTCCCCCAAAAGCCGCCGACGTTCAGAATGTGCGTTGATTACACTGACCTGAACAAGGCGTGCCCAATGGACCCGTTCCCTCTCCCCGATATTGATTAGTTGGACGAGACGGCGGGATGCGAGTTGATGTCATTCCTTGACGCCTTCAGAGGGTACCACCAGATTTTCATGCACGAAGATGACACCGAGAAGACGACTTTCATGACCCCAGAGGGAGTCTTCTGCTACCTCGTCATGGCCTTTGGGCTCAAGAACTCAGGCGCCACGTACACCAGGATGGTAGCCAAAATTATTAGAACAGTCCTCGATCAGATGATGGAGGCATACATCGACGATATGATCATCAAGAGCAAGTAATCTACCAGCCACGCCGACGACCTCCGGGAAATCTTTGAAATCATGAAAAAGTTCCAGCTCCGCCTGAACCCAAAAAAGTTCACCTTCGGCGTCCAGGGGGCAAGTTCCTTGGCTACATGGTCAGCCGAAGGGGCAATGAGATCAATCTAGAGAAGATACAGGCCATTGTTAACATGGAGCCACCACGAAACGTGAAGGAGGTGCAGCGGCTGACGGGATGCCTTGCGGCCCTAAACCGTTTCCTCTCTAAGTCGGCTGAAAGGTCCCTCCCTTTCTTCCAAATCATGCGCAAAGCGAACAACTTCAAGTGGACGACGGAATGCCAGCAAGCATTTGAAGAGCTGAAGCGGTACCTATCGTCCCCTCCTGTGCTCTCTAAGCCCAAAGCCGGTGAGACCCTCTTCTTGTACTTGGGGGTGAGCACGTCGGCCATCAGCTCCGTGCTCATCCGCGAGGAAGAAGGGGTACAGAAGGCCATTTTCTACGTCAGCAAGACGTTACGGGAGGTCGAGCTCAGGTACTCCCCCATTGAGAAGACAGTATTGGCCATTGTCCGTACAATGAAAAAGCTAGGGCACTACTTCCTGGCCCACGCCATCCACGTCTTAACTCAACAGCCCCTCGGCGCACTCATGCGGAGCCTCACCAGTTCCTCACAAATGGTGAAGTGGGCAATCTTCCTCAGCTAATTTCAGATTGATATCAAGTCGAGGCCATCCATCAAAGGGCAGGCCTTGGCTGATTTCATCACTGAGTGCACAGCTAGGGAGACGACCGCTACGACACCCGGGCCAGAGCCAGACGAAGCATGGACTCTCTTCACTGACGGTTCATCGGCTGCCAAAGCATGCGGGGGCGTCGTCGTCCGCATCTCCCCTGAAGGATTCAGAGCCTATTATGTCATCCGCTTCAACTTCAGGGTATCCAACAATGAAGCCGAGTACGAGGCCCTCCTCATTGACCTCAGACTCGCCGCCGGCCTCAGAGCACGACACATCAGAATCAGGTGCGACTCCAAACTGGTGGTGGGCCAGATCAAGGGCTCGTACGAGGCCAAAGAAGGGAGGATGAGGCAATACAAGCAGGCGGCCGAGGAGTTGCTCAAGGCATTCGAAACCCACGAGATCACACAGATCTCGAGGGCGGAGAATGCTGAGGCCGACATCCTCTCCAAGCTCAACACATACACTCTAGAGCACATCTCCAAGATAGCCAAGGTCGAGGAGCTAAGCATGTCCAGCATCCATGCCAGCCCGGTCATCTGCATCCAGCATCGGTCGGAGGACTGGATCACCGACATCACACCCTTCATCACTTCAGGGGAGCTGCCCCAGGACGAGGAGAGGGCCAAGCTGGCCAAACTCAGGGCCCAAGCTACACCATCGAGAATGGAAAGCTCTACAAAAGATCTTACAACAGCACTCTCCTCTGATGCCTACACCTAGACGAGGCCGAAGTGGCCATGGAGGAAGTCCACTGCGGCGTATGCTCCTCACATCAGGGCCCTTTCAGCATGTCCCGACGTCTCGTCCTCCAGGGCTATTTTTGGCCGATGATGGCGTGGGATTGCGCCAATCTTGCAAGGAAGTGCACTACATGTCAAGTCCTTCAGAAGGCCCCTGGTCGGCCAGCCGTCAATTACGCCCCGGTCAACACTGCTATCCCATTCTCAAGATGGGGGATTGACCTGGTCGCCCCCTGCCCAGA